CGAATGTGCCATGGTCCAAAAGGAGTAGTTTTCTAGGTGGTCCCGTGTTATGCAGCGGTGGACCAGAAGTGGTCCTATGTTATGCAGCGTTGGACCAGAGGTGGTCAGGTCCAATGACATCGCAATGTTAATGTTACCATTTTTTCTCCATATATTTGGACCATTTTGGTTACTAGTGTTGGTTACAAGGTAGCGTGGTCCTGTACTAGTACTTAACCTAGTCCCACTTTTTGCAGGGCATCTATACTTATGCTTATGTATATGTGTGCTATCATATTTTTATTACTAAATGACGTTGCCGACCGTAAAAGCACAAAGGCTTACAACCAACAATGTGACCAGCACAGGGCAATAGCCAGTGAAACAATGTACATACGTATGTATGTGTGTGTGTGTTATGAGAGTATGTAAAAATGCATATCTCTCGGTGCATAGGCCAACGGCATCAACAATAACACCGCCATAGCTGCGAGTGCCGCAACTGCCATAAATGTATGTAGTATTTTTGTATTTTTTTTTTGTGTGTGTGTGCACATTTCGGAGCGGACAAGCATTGCCAATTAAAAATTTCATATGTGGTGATTGGGCGTAAACAATCACGGCGGTGCTTTTGTTATTTTCTCTTGTTTGCTGATCTTGATGAATGCTCAACATTGCACCGAAATTGCAAGCAGTCATTCAAAAGCAAACTTACGTGCATACTCAGACACGCACACACATACCACACACACTCACATGAACTACGAGCATCCTATAGGAGCGAAATAATGCTCTGCTTGCTTTTGTTGTCTGCTGCCTGCCGCCGCATCGTTCGCCATTTGCTGAAGTGCATTTTCGCGCTAAATGTGACGGTCAATGAACAATGATAACAACTATTATAGACAATAAAAAATGTGTGTGTGTGTAGTAGTTTGCTGTAATATTCTGTTTGTTTCATGTCTATTGTTCATTCAAATATTTATTGTACAAGTGCTGGCGAAATTTAATTAATTGCATAGATGCATGTATTTAAATTAAAAAAAAAAAAACAAGAAGAAATATCAGGTGCGGCCAGCAAAGCGCATATGGGATGTAATATGATTACATTTTTCGACGAGATAAAATAGCGCGATATTATTATGTTATTTGATATTAAGCGTCGTTCTCACAGCGGAGAGTTAACTTCCGAATTTGAGTATACGTGCAATTTTTGTATTGAATATCTGTAGTTACATAAATAGAGTGTCGGAAAAATAAATAGGGAAACACACTTTAACAAGTTTTTGTTATTTTTATTTGGCATACTTTATGTTTATTAATTTTTAATGGAAGTTTAGTTAACTATTTCACCACAGCCATATAAGTCCGTATTTCAAATCGTGTATAAAAATTCGGAAAATTCTACAAAATTTCATCAGAATGTAAAAGTTTTAATCAGAAAATTTACAAAAAAAAAATTTGTTATGCAGTTTTGTAGCCCATTAAATCATTGTATACTAAAGGGCAAGCTAGATGTAGCTAGGTTGCATTTTTTCTGCTGTTGGTATCAGACATCTTCTTCCATACTATGTAGGTTAAAAATCATTTTTATTTGGAGGAAAATGAATAAAATTTTGTTCATAAGACTCTGATTAAAAAGTTGACGAGGATTTGTTGAAATTCATCACCGTTTTATAAACCTTGTAAAAATTTTAAACTTTTGACTTATATGGTTTTTGTTAGTTAGCAAGCTATACCATTATTAAAATTAATAAACCTTAAATGAATAAAAGAAATAAATCCTCTAGGATTTGATAAACAGCAAGGAGATTCCAAACTTCGAGTCAAATTCATCAGACCGAATTCCGCTAATCAGTTGGTGCATGCGGACTACCAGCTCTTTGCCGACAGCTTTGCACAGCTTAGCCGGTATTCCATCAGATCCAAGGGCTTTTAAGTTTTTTTCACCCCGGCTTGGTCTGGTGGTGGAATGTGAGCTTCGTCTCTGTACTTTGTGCTGGGTTCTTTTTCGACAAATCGCTATAGCCATGGGTAATAGCGCAATTTTTTTGGCGCTAGCTCAATAACGCCAGCGCCACCTGTGGTGTCAGCGCACTAACTCAGCGCAATAGCGCAATGTTATGAATTGAACACGGCGCCATCTGAGTGTCACCACAGTGCCCATCGTCATACAGTGTAGTACACCATACAGTGTGTCATATCTATTATTTCTATAATTTTCGGCGCTGAGCAACGCTTGTACCGCCAACCGAATTTAATTGCTAGGAATGTAGTAAATGCCACGATATTCTCATCATTCTTGAGTAAAAGCTTTAAATTTGCGTTCTCAACGCTCAAAAGCAAAACAAAAGTACGTGTAAATTGTCAAAGAGTTAACGCGAATTGAGTAAGTGCCTCATGTGTTGCTTGGTGTTAATGGCGCTGGCGCTTTCCATATACTGGTGTTGGCACAGCAACTCCGGCTACGGTGTTAACGTAATTGCGCTGCGCAGCGCAGTGTTACCCATGCTTAAATCGCTACCTATTTACATACATACGTATGTATATTGCCATTCATAAGCATTGAGAAGTGTTCCTTTCATATCTCGGAATTACTCTGGACATATGTTACCAAATTTCATCTATGTTACTAGCCCCGGTCTTGAAACCACTTTATTGGTATTCGCATTCACGTCTTTCTTCTTATCTGTTCTTCATCTTAGAAAAAAGTCCCTCTTCCCTATTCTTTTTCCGGTATATACATAATACCGTGGCAGTACAGTTTGTTATACGAGCTCTTTCTGGATAGATGGCAATAACCAACCACTCCATCCGCCGCAGTACGAATATGGACGGAGTTGATCGTCGACTCACGATTGATGAGGGTTGTAGATCAAATACTGCGATGCAGGATAGTTCAGGCTAATCTGGCGCGTGTATCGACTAGTATTCTACTTCTTCATTGCTTATGCTGACAACTTTATAATAGTCGTAAGTGGACGATTCTCTCAAAGACTTATGAATTTTATGAAAGTAAAAATAAGAGGGATGGAAAAGGGGATCAACGTGAGTAGCCAAGTAAAACGAAACGGATATTAGTTATTTCTCAGAAAGTACAAGATTCAACAATTAAGACGTATCTACAACAGCTCTCTATAAATTTAAAGACGCAACCGCTTTCAAAGTGGCCGTGTCCTGTAGTACAGTACGTTGACTGTGTATTGTTGAGGTTAGATCTATACTTTTAGATGAAGTGGTTTGGTGGTCTAAATACTTGAGCTAAGAAATCAGTTATGCTCACACCAAAAAACCTGAAAAAGACGGCCCTACTCGAGAACATCACGTCTCTATGCACAGCGCCCATGGAGGCGGTGGATGTACTGCTAAATCTATATAGTGTCCAAAGACATTATGGCGAAGCAAAATGCAGCTGGCGCAGTCATTAGGCTACGAATATTATCTAACGGCAAAGCAAAACACTGAGATCTCGCCTCAACTCTGAAAGAGATTCGCCTGCCGTAAGTAACGGACAGAGGGTAAAGAGTATGTTTTGTGACCCACTGACTCTATATATGCTATATACAGTAACAGATCTAAAATGTAAAATAAGTTCGGAGGGAGAGTTTCCTTGGACGAACTTTGAGTACAAAAGTCGTTTCGTCTACCAGATCATTGCAGCGTCTTCAAAGCCGAGTTTGCGGCTAAGCAGGAAACTTTCAGGTGGCTACGAACTCTAAATACTAACGGGTGATTTTTTTGAGGTTAGGATTTTCATGCATTAGTATTTG